TTCATTCAACTAAGCAAGAAAACAAACATCCACTTCCAACAAAACCAAGAAATGCCAGCGAGTAATGACACTGTCTCCTCTGCCTGCAAACGAAAAGCAGCATCTCTAGGCCTCCGGTTTTGCCTCCTTTCTTTAACACAGCGATAGTTCTTTACTGGAACACTGAGACCCAGGTCCACCAGAGCAATGTCGAAAAACCAATCTTGGTAGAATTCTACCAGGGTCTCATAAAAACGCTCGACGTGTGTAACAAAGCTCTGTGTTTACATGCGCGTAAATTATCGTCAAAGAGCCCCAACATTCCTGTAAAGGGAATAGCTAAACACATTGGTCCCAACAGAAACACAAACAAAATGGATTAAAAACTGGCTATCTAACCGTATAGAGAGGGAAATCGTAATTGGTAGTCCGTCTAGCTGGGGAGAGGTTTCCAGTGGGGTCCCACAAGGACGGATATTGGGTCCCATTTGGTTTAAAATCTTTATAAAAAATCTGGAAGACAAAGTAGAAAATGTGCTAATTAAGTCGACTGATGGCACTGGAGCCGCACTGGGGTTCAAGTTAACAGGATATAGATATATGCTACTGGGCTTTAGAGAGCACAAAGACCAATGCTAGGGGAGAATGGGAGGACACTAATGAGTTGAGTTTTTAAACACATATATTTTAAAATTTAATTCCAGGTAGTAAACACAGATTGAGAAGGGCTCAGTGAAGATTAGACACAATGGAGAAAGACAACCGAGTCACGGCTCCCCAGAATGCAGACTCTGGGGTTTGGGAGAGCAGCAGCTTAAGAAAACCGGTGGGGGTGGCTGTCTTAACACATCAATGATATTGTGATCCTGGAGGCATTTCCACTGTGCACCAAGGTTGTAGAAAGAGTGACTACAGTCTCGAATCTGATCTATTGCTTGTATTTGCTTATATCTGTTTGTTGGCACCATAGTAAATCAGAGATGAGTATAATTTTTTTTTAAAGAAGAAGTGTGGAACAATGGAAGGTATGGACAAAATGAGGGAAGGAAATCAATCCAAAGCAAATCCTATTTGGAAACACTCACACATGTGCACACGCACGCACACACACGCATGCACACATACATAGACGCCCCACAGACACACAAATGATGCAAAGGACAACATAAAGGATCTACTAACATGTGGGTAGAGACTGTGTATGTCTTTACTTTTATTTCTTTGGGGGTGAGGATTACGGTTTGGAACTATTCCAGCAGACATGCAGTATAAATAGATATAAATATGCACTATAGCTCATGTTGATTTGAGTTTAGTTTCATTATCTTAGTATTTTATGACAATGTGTCACGTGAAGGCAACTGTGAAATTCACACGTAAAGACTTTCATGTGGAGATAGATCAGACATTCATAAATGAAGTAAAGTCAACTAAATTGAGTCTGTCTCTCTAGCTGAGGCCCAGGGTTCAAGTTCCAGTACTACCAAAAGACAGTGTAGAAGAATATGTCGGGATCATAGAATGCGTAAGGGCTCCCGCCTGGGTTGGCTTATGCTTTTTAACCTTCCCTGACCTCAGGACAGAGCACAGTTTGAAAATTACTCAGGGTGATGGGGCACGCCACTTCCATCTCCAGTAAACTCTCAAAGGTGAAAAATTCAAGCCTCCTCTAGAAAGCTGATTTTTTTTTCCCCCATAGCAGACAATACTTGGCTGATTGTATGCGCCCAATCTTTGAAAAGAAGTTACTTGTGAATTACAGCTGAAAATAAGAGGCCTTCTTGATATTAAAAAAATAAGACTCTCATTATTCATGGCGCTGACACAAAAGGAAGCACAAGACCATCAGAGCCCCGTGTGGCTCTTCTGGCCTTCCCTGTGGGGCGGGAAAGGAGACCCCGCGCATCTGGAATGTGGCATGAATGTCCTTCTGTTTTAATCAAATCAAGATATCGATATAGATTCTGTCCTCAGAAATAACTAATAACATCTGCTATCCATTTCACTGCTAACACTCACTGAAAAATGATTTCCTGACTTCAAGTTTGTAATTCCTGACCTACATTACGTTCTAGGTAACACTCTTCCTTTGGGGTATGGCTTCATTTTACATGCACGCCATAGAAAATATATAAGCAAACATCCACCAATAGGCTTGTGGGGGGGCAAGTTTTATCTTAAAATCAATTATGTTTTTAACTTTAATATTTTATTAGCAGTTCCCACTTCCTAAGCACTTTGTATTTGCTGAGGATTCTGCTACCTGCCTCACACATGATCACCCTAGTCTTTTTTTTTTTGGGGGGGGGGTTAGTTGTGGGGCTTGAACTCTGGGCCTGGGCACTGTCCCTGAGCTCTTCAGCTCAAGGCAAGCGCTCTACCACTTGAACCACAGAGCCACTTCCGGTTTTCTAGTGGTTTATTGGAGATAAGAGTCTCATGGGCTTTCCTGCCCGGGCTGGCTTTGAACCGAGATCCTCAGATCTCAGCCTCCTGAGTAGCTAGGATTACAGGCGTGAGCCACTGGAGCCGGCTTTTCACCCTATTCTTACAGTGTGATAGTGCTGTAATTTTATATTCCCTAATAACATGATAGGAATTAACTCCAGTTTACAGATGAGGTGTAAAGGGCCAGACAAGCTGACTTTGTCTACTGTCACACAGCTATTTAGTGAGAGGGAAAATACTGAACCAGACTGACTCCAAAACAATGACTTAGGACTGTCAAACTCCTGCTATCTTGATTATCGTACATGTTGGTCCAAAAACAAAACCCAGTTGAAGAGAATGACATGAACACGTGAATGTTCTCTGGGCCCAGGCTCCTCATGTTTGAAATTGGGGAGCTGGAGGCTTTGGGCTGGGCATGTCTTTCGTATGGCAAACTGTCCCGTGTGTAACCTCATCCAGGGCTCCACACATCTGTTGCCCATAGCAACGGCCATCTCCTCATCTGACAACCAACAAATGTCTGCAGAGGCTGCTCTGAATTCTCTGGGAGAGAAAAATTCTCTCTGCTCTGAGAATTACCGCCCTTAGAGCTCCCCACTGTCGCCTTCCATCTTCCCTAGTCTGCCACCCAGTCCGTACCGGCCTCCTCGGTCAGGAAGGCTCAGCTTTTCACAAACATGAGATCCCTGCAGCCAACCCTTCTGTACCTCCATCTCGGTCCTGGTGCATTCACAACGATCTGAAACTTTGGAATTAGGATGATCTAAAGGTTTCCTGTTCTGTTGATGTGAAATCTTCACCAGTCACATCTCAAACTTACTATTTAAGCGAACATTTGGTATGAAAAATAGGGTAGGTGCAAGAGGAAAAAGCTGAGCTATTATCTTCATTAAGCTGGCCTTGCCTTAGGCAGCTCTTTAAAGCCTCTCTAACTGCTTTTATGTGCTTTTTCTTCTTTTTTCCAGGTTGGCCTGTCAGGAAATGCATGAGATACGTTTAGGAGGTAGCTTCTCACTGACAGCCTGAGACTTGGAAAAGTAGGCAGCCTGTTGCTGCTATGTGACAACCTACAATTCCAAAGGGTGAATTTGCCAACATGGGAACTCGAAAGAAATGAGAAATTTCCTAGATCCCAGGGTCTCCTGTCTTCCCAGGGAAACCTATCCGTATCATTAGAAACATCATCTTCTGAGAAAGAAGTGGTTTTAATTAAAATTAGTCCCAAACCAAGCATGAGACCCAAGGATACGGGGAAACAAGCAAGCAAGCGAGAATCTTCCAGAGGCTTTGCTCCAAATAAATATCAGTGCTAGAAGATTTGTGCACTATCTTTGGAAATACACCAAAGTTAAAATATTAAAATGCTTATGAACTAATCAAGTATTATTATGGTTAATAATTTTAGCTGTTTTCCTACGCTCACTACTACGAATGCTTATTATACCCAATATTACGTGCTATTACGTAGCACTTCATGGGACAGATATTAAATGGAGTCTTTACTTGGTTTCTTTATTTCAAAGGGTCTATATTTAGACTATGAGAAAACAGACACACAGTTATCCTGTTTAGTGCGGGAAGTCAGGTGAAGTTATATTTAGGGAGTAAACATGGTTAGCTCCATTGGGACCACTGTCCAACCAGTAATGATTCTTAAACTTGCTTGTAAATAAGAATAAGCTAGCAAACATTTAAAATGTATGACACCTAAGTCTGAAGAAGGGACCTAGGCTTCAGTAGATAATTTTAAATTTTCTGCAGGACATAATTGTGGGCGCTATTAGCTTCAAAAATGAACAGGACACTGTCCAAAAGAAAACAACAAACCCAGAAGAGGGCATATGCTCATGGCCTGACGTATGAAATGGTAACCCCTCTGTAAGATGCCTTAGGAGTAACATCAGAATTAGAATTTAAAAATGAACAGGGCTGGCGTGGTACACAGTGTCTCTAACTACACCTGCCGATGGCTAGGTGGCAGCCTCCTACTGCAGGGGCTTCAGAGATCAGTGGGACACGTTTCAGGAGTTAAGAAGTACTGTTTTGTTGAGAAAATGATAGCTTTACCTATTCTACCTCCTTGTTTTCTACCCTGCTGATTGCCTCTGGGAGACAGCCTCAGTTTGTTGGTGGTGGTGCTTTTGCACACACCCATAGTTGCCTACTTCCCTGCTGCGTCAGAGAGCATGAGGCCCATCATTTAGTATAGAGTTTGATGGCTCAGCTTTTTGTCTGTATTTAAGGTTACCTTCCAGCATATAATACTGAGAAGAATGACACGAAGTTTCCTTTTTAACTAAGTTTAAATGAGTAAATTCTACGAAGGAAGAGTCACTTATATTCACAGATGGAAACCATCATAGGGGTAGGAGTAATGAAGGCAATGAAGATTTGGGGAACCCTGTGGTTATGGAAAAGGTGCCCTGGTCCTGGCTCTGCGTATGCTGATGATCTGTGTCATGTCGGGGAAGCTGCCCATCCCCTTCCCTGGCCCTTGGTGTCCTCATGAGCAAACCCAGGCCCTGGGCCCACAACGCCAGCATTCACCTCGAGTCTCAGAAACAACTGACCTTGTTGACGTCCAGGCGCATCTTCTCATTGTTGGCACTGGCAGCCTTCTCGGCTGCTTTCTTCTGGCGTTGGGGTCCTCTCCCGAAGAAGATGTAGTTGACCAGCGCATACTCCAGCAGGGCCATGAACACGAAGACAAAGCACCCCATGAGGTACATGTCAATGGCCTTCACATAGGGGATTTTAGGGAGGGTTTCCCGGAGGTGGGTATTGATGGTGGTCATTGTAAGGACAGTTGTGATTCCTGCAAGAATAAAACAAATGAAAAAGTTAAGACTATATAACGTTCTGCTTTCCTTTCTGTCCTCACCATTGCTGGGAAGTTTAATTTTCCTCATATATACATATATTGGGCACATTATATTCCAGTCCTGTGATTGTCGGTGATTGTCCCTGAAGACAAAATCACTTACAAGTAAGTAGAAATCATTTTGGAATTTTCCGCTAAGTATATTTTTATATTTTTGTATATTATATATGCAGTGGGGACTAGAATTGTGATTTAGATGCCGTGGTGGGCTGTGGGTAAGATGGACCAACATGGACAGGATTCAAGTGATGTGGCAGGGACCAGATCAGGACTTGGAGACTCCTGAAGAACAGACAGCCAAGGACTGGAGGTCCAAAGCCATGGTAGGCCTTTGGCCACTGGGGGGTGGAAAAATTGCACATAAAACTGTATTGGGGAGAGAGTTCACTGCTCATTAAAGAGATCTAAAAAAAAAGCATAGCAGATACATGATAGTATAAGATGGAAAGAATCAGAGGAAAGTAGAGAGTAAGACAAGGCCATGTGCGATGGATCACAGTGGGGCATTTAAACTCCAAATTAAAGCCAACGTGAAGCACTGGCCAGCTTTCAGCAGAGAGGACTCCGGACAGGCTGAACTTAGGACAGTCTTTTGGACAGTGGTATGGAGGACGGGGGAGAAAGGCTCAAGACAAGAGTGACAGGTGCCAGGTCAGAGGACTTCAGGGTGACTCATGCAAATGATGGAGGGGAAGGAGTTAAAGTAACAGCCACAGGGCTGAGTGTGTACGTTATACAGACGACAGGGGTCAGACGTACTGCCAACACGTGGAAAATGGAAGTGGAGGGTGAGAGAGAAGGCAGCGTTATAGCTGCCACATTTCTGGGCAGGGCAGTTGGGCACACAGTGGCCAGATAAAGTAACATCAAGTATTGTCAGAGTTTTCGTAGGAAGTGCTATGTGAGGTCAGGCTGTAATCACATGCCCAGTTGAGCTGGTTTCTCTGGCTGTGGGGAGTACTTGCTCTCAAAGCTTAATTGGAAGGTGAGGGCGCTGCAAGTCCAAAGTGTGATCAAGTCCATCTCTGTAGCAAAGAGCGACACAAAAGGAGACAGCTCCGAGGTCAGCATCACCCAGGCAGGAAGCTCTGGAGATGCCTTTGCTGCCTTAGGGACCTCTCAGCTTGTTACCCAACAGCAGATCTCCAAAGCCAAATTCCACTTTGATGTCATCTTGTCGGTGTAGTTTTCTGACTTCATTTTATCGCTCTAATAAGCAATAATCGCTTTAAAAAAATGTCCTCATGAGAATTTGGAGAAAATATAAAGTTGCCCCTTGGCTTTGCTTTCAAGTGTTTTACAGTTCGTCTGTGTGTTCTTGATCACAAGCATTTGGTGACATTTTCCAATTTCATTTTTCTCTCCATCATTTAATTACCCATGATCCACACCACTTCCACGTGAAAACGGACCATGCTGGGTTTGTTATTTTATAATTATTGATCAAAAAAATCTCATTTTAAAGTGTTTCTGAACCTAATAATGGCTCATATAAAATAGATTTTTAGAAATTTCTTTTTTTTTAAAGCTAGGAAACGATTTATCACTCCTGTAAGGGACAGACTAGGAATTGAGCAAATTATACTGTTCCCTTCATTCAGCAAAAATTTACCCAACACCATCTCTCTTACGAGGCCTTACAGATACGATGCAGCAGCCAGCACCACCGCACGAGCGAGCGAGCGGCAGCCCTGCACTCGGGCGCGTCCGCCAGACTCTCGGCGTACCTAGTGCACGGCTTGATGCCGTCCTGGAGGCCGTTCCTGCTCCTTCCCACCTGGGAGCCATCACCACCCACTCTGAAGGGGCGGCCACGTCTCCCTTTTGATCTGAGATCAGATCGTGCTCCTTGTTTGCTCAGAGTCTCTCCATTTCATGGGAAATGAGTGCGAACCATTACTACCATTACCACGGCTGACAGCCCCATTCGTGATCTTCCACTCCCTCTTCCCTGAGAGCACTCCATCTTGCCCTCATTAGCCCCCTGCTGATCTTCTGGCCGGTTCCTCACTTGGAATCTTTGTGCTGCAGCCTGGAACAGGTTGCTCTGGATAGGAACAAGGCTCTTCACCTTCCAGAAGCATTGGCTCCAGCCAGTGCTGAGCAACTCAGCCGAGGTTGGGCTAACGCCCCTATCTCCTGTCAAGCCCCCCTGTCTGGACTGATCTCCATATCTACCCTATGGCATTACTACACAGTCATTCAGTTCTTGTCTAGCTTCCTTTATTAGACGCAAGCTCCCAGAAGAGCGTGGGTATATCTTAAGTACCTAGGCTTGCTGGCATATAGGAAGTATTCAACATTCCCTGGATGAATAAGTCAATGATTTTTCTCAGGGAGTTATGACTGAACTAAAGCTCCATGGTTGAAAGAAAATCAACATTTTAGCAAGTGGCACTGTGGCTCAAAGTGGCAGAGTGCTAGCCTTGAGCAAAAGAGCTCAGGGACAGCGCCCAGGCCCAGAGTTCAAGCCCCACCACAAAAAAAAAAAAAAATAAAAAAAATAGAAATCCGCATTTCAGTGTTTGAAAGGGCACAGTATGACCCCAAAATAATGAAGGCTATGTAAAAGTTCATGAAGTGATTCATGTATGGTTAATTGCAAGTGTTTAAGGTGCCTGGAGAAAAGAAATCAGGCATATTATAAACAATGCCCTCCTGTCTTCTACATGCTATGCCTATGCCAAAACATCAGTGAAGCTTGGACTCATTCCTGTGTCAGAGTGCACAACCCTTCTCTCCTGCTGGGAGGGAAGGAGAGGAGGGCCTCCTCTCAGGTGTAGGTGCACACACACAAACTGGACAATTACACAAGCAATATTACATGAAATGCGTCTCAATAAAAGTCTCCAACGGATGAAACGAATTACATGACCAACAACTATATGGTCAACTAATTCTGACATGAAGGCGCTTTAATTGATTTAATGCGGAATCAGATCACCCACAGTGGCAGGGTTCCACTCTGGAGTTGACATGCATCACCAATTCCTGGGTAAGGAGAGGGTGTGAGGGCAGGAATGCACGTGCGTGTGCGCGCACGCGCGCGCACACACACACACACACACGCACACATACATGCACAAAGGTGAGCTCCACAATGCCTACCTAATGCCACGCGAGCTGCTGAGGCATCGTAATTAATCCAGAAGGAGACCCAGGAGAGAATGGTGATCAGGATGGAGGGCATGTACGTTTGCAGGATGAAGTAGCCGATATTTCTCTTCAGTTTAAAGCTGAGGGACAGTCTGGGATAGGAACCTAGAAAGGCAATTTCAGAACATCCTCATTAATCAATATTGATAGGATACGCTCCATTTAAGGTCCATAAACACTTTGTACATCTTCCCTCCATTCAATGCTAGCTTGGGGTGAAGGATATTTATTTTCTGCAGATTGAGTGTTACAGCCCTGGGGTTTCAACGAGCAGCAGTTACAATGCACCCACAGCAGTTCAGACAATCCCTGCTCGGTCTGCCCAGTCTTGCGTGGCCGCCACATCACAGATGCCCACACTTCCTGTGACCCACTCCCTCCTGAGAGGACTGGAAAGCTTCGGCTAGCTTTTTCCACTGGCATAACCCCTCCCAGGAAGTTCATCTTACAAGATTTCTCTTGTAAGGCCAGATGCTCTGATCATATGAAAGGAAGGAAAGGAGGGAGGGGGGGAGGGAGAGAGGGAGGGAGGGAGGGAGGAAGGGAGGGAGAGAGGGAAAGAAAGAAAGAAAGAAAGAAAGAGAAGGAAGGAAGGAGAGAAGGAAGGAAGGAAGGAAGAAAGAAAGAAAAAAAGAAATCTCTTCTCCAGCTGTAGGAGGATTAAAAACAAACAAACAATTCTGTGATCATGGTGAGATCAGAGAGAGATGTATGTGGGTTTGCCATTTGTAAACAACTTTTCATTCTTAATAAATTTATTATGTTCATCAGAATGCCAAAGGGATCCCTGACACACTAAAAGGCAGAGAATCACTGCTTTGGAGCCATATTCCTGGGACAAACAACCAAAGGCACATGTTCCTGCTCAGAGAGTAACTCAAGGAACATATGCTTAGCATACACAAGGTTCTGAGTTCAAAAGTTATGTATGTGCTTGTTGAATGTGGGGAGAGAGAGAGAGAGAGAGAGAGAGAGAGAGAGAGAGAGAGAGAGAGAGAGAGAGAGAGAGAGGCAGACAGACAGATAGATAGAGAGACAGAGACAGACATGGGACATGGGGGAGAGGATGTGTCCTCGTTTCCAGATTCCCTGGTGGGCTAAGAGCTGCGAAGTCCATCCTTCAGATGAGACATGGAAGTCAGTGCAGTCTTTAAAAGTTCGTGATAAAAAGTTCATTTTGGTAAAATCTGGAAGGATGCTCTAGGTATTGAAATGAAAGCCTGGGCTGTCTTCTTGAGCTATGCCAAGTGTCTAAGTATCTTACTATGAAATTATATATATATATATATATATATATATGTATGTATGTATGTTTGTAGGTATATTTTGGGGTGGGTCTATAGGCATGTATTACCAGGTCTGATAAAGGAAGGATTCTTTAAGTAGAAACTCATCTACATGGAGTTTTAGATATTTAGAGCAGCTCACACATAGGAAAAATTTGAAACAAGAGGCAAGCTTGAATGTTCATGGTCCAGTGCTAGCTTGCTGGAAGGGGCCTGTAACTACAGAGCAAGAGGCAATTCTAAACCGAGTTACCATCTTAGCTGTTGCTGTGCTCGAGGGATTCATTCTAACCAGAAGAACATGAAGAAGTTTGGTGTTTTTTTTTTTTTTAAAGCTTGCTATTTTTTATTCACTGCATTAGAGTTTGGCAGAGGATAGTGCTTGATGGGATATTTTTGTTTTAAAAACATGAAGATCAAACGAATTCTGGCAACGTACAATTGGATGGCCAAAGGAGCACAGGATGAGACTGTTAACATCTGGAGGAGTTTTAGCTTGGGGATGGGGGTTAAATGAGCGAAGTTGTTGCTCTCTGAGGGAAACATGACTTGGTGTCCCCAAGGTCGTCTCGAAGGTGGGGGGCAGCTGTGACCCAACTCTGCATTTCTCCTCCTATCTTCTGTCTGTCTCTCCACATGAAGGCCTTCTCTGGGGAGTGAGAGGCAGATGAGCCTCTCGGCTTTTCTGGGGGTGCCTGGGGGGTGTACGCCTGGGCTCGGAGTGCAGCCAGGCCTAGGAGGAGGCAGGGCGTGGGGCAGAGAGATGGCTCTTCTGCAGGACACCCCCGGCCCCCCCGCCCCGAGGGAAGAGAGCCCCGCGGGGCACACCCCGCACCGACGTGCGCTTCTTCCCCCTGGCTCCCTGCTACGCACCCGTGGAGAACACCACCTTCTTGGTGATGAGCTTGTAGTCCACGATGGAGAACTGCGGGAGCTCGATCTTCGTGACGCCGGTGACGGCGTTGTCATCGCCTCGCCAGTAAAACTCAATGTCATCGGTGGTGTACCCATCTGTGACAGGAAGGACACACAGACACAGGACGGAGAGGACACCGGTTAGAAGATGGTGGAACACGCCACAGAAGCTATGGCTAAGGGCTGCGAGGGGCTCAGCCACAAGGCACCCCACGCCGGTCAGGGCTTGGAGACCTCACCCCACAACTCTCAAGGGAAGGGTGGTCAGACTCCCCGGAGCTGCAGAGAGAGGCCCAGCTCCGTCCGCCACGAGGCGCAGCGGGGTGTAATCCGGGGATACGCTCCCCGCTATCACCTGCGATGACATCATCACAGTAAGCTGATTATGAATCTTACTCTATCAAGTATCAATCTAGATGATATCCTGAGAGGGGAAAAAAAAAAATCAAACGATCAGTTTAGTGTTGAAGGCTATCAAGTATCCCTTTCTCATATGAAATCCTTTAATTAGAATGTAGTTGGGTTTTGTGCCAGAAAATAACTGATCACGAAGGAATCATTCTTTGTTCAATATTCATGTACACCATCCCCAAGCTTGGCTCTGTATCCCATCTAATTTAAAGCGTAATTTCAATAGTTCAGAGGAGTAGATATGAACACGTGGTGTATATAGTACACGCAGCATACTGAGGGCTATGCTCCCGTTCATTCAACAATACTGCGTTTATCGCCTAGAACACCCACCCATCTGGACATACTCTCTGGGGAAAGGATTCTGTATTTTAAAGACATTCATTACACAGAATAATGCTCTGGTGTGTTCTCTGGTGTGATGACAATAATGGTTCTTTGGAATGAGGGTACTTCCATTCCATGGGCTTGGGGGGAATTTCAGCAAAGGAGCGCAGATCTCGTAAGTGCTCAGCAAACGCCTCACTGCAGTGAACAACGCATACCCCACTGACTGTAAGCGGTCCCCAACAAGGACTCCGGCAACATTTTACTCTTGTGCCCCAACTCCAATATTCCTGAAATACACAGCACCCGGTATATGAACGAATGTACAACACGCGTGAAGAGGGAGTGTGCTCCGCTCTGCAGAGGACCTATGCACCTGGAGAGCTGAATGGCACGGGCGGGCAGAGGCACGGATGCTGCAAAGCAGGACAGGAGCAAGCGCAGCCTTCTATACTTCAACTTTTCTGTGGCTTCTCTACGTAGTCATGAGGAACTCTTAGTAAATCTGGATTTCTAAGGAAATACTCTAAGGAATATTATCTCCAAACATGTATGACAAAAAAGGGTCTCTGGACGAACTATATTTGGGAGGGGTGGAGGGAAAGGGGACTCTGGTGACTTGTAGTATATAGTGTCGCCCGTGAGCTCAGCCAGGCGATCTTCTGAGAGGCCACATGCCTGGTAATGGCGGTCTCTGCATGGAGAGATTTTTGGAAACTGATCGACCACCATCGTCCCCAGAGGGAGCCAAGACCCACAACTCCAATGCAATAATGCTCCCTGGTGAGAGTCGGGTAGAGTCGCGCGGTAGAGCGCGTTAACTCAACGGCGATAATGGAAGATGTTTAAATTAACGAGGCCAGTTGAATGGCCAAGGAGACACACGCAGCTGTGCAATAAAGCGCCGTCAACTGTGACACCGACCCATCTGCTTTCTAATAAGGGCTGGCGAAGGAAGGAAAGGAGGAACTGGCCTGGGCCTCTCCACCTCAACCCATTCCGCACAGCCCCTCTGGGCTACGGGGTCAGCTGGGGTCTCGCTCAGTGAAGGGATGCAGGTAGGAGGCTCTGGCAGAAGGTTCAAGAATCTGTGAAGCCCAGAGCCGCTGCCCCTTCCTGGCATTCTAGCTCTTTGGGAGGCTGGAGTTAGGAGGTCCATGGCATTTGAGGCCATCCAATCAGAAAATTCCATGACTTCCATCTCATCTGAAGCCACACGGCAGGCTGAGACTGAGAGGATCGTGGTTCTGGGCCAACCTGAGCAGCAAAGTCTGTGATGGTCCATCTCAATAGAATGAGGTCAACGCTGGTGGCTTGTACCTGCCATCCTGGCTACAATGGGAAGCCTGCAACTAGGGGGATCACATGGTCTCAGGCACACGCCTGGTGAAAGAATGACATCCTGTCTCAAAAACAATTAGCGATCACAGAATGCTGAAACAAGAACTCAGCCTGACCATTGCAACAATGATACCCACAAGACAGTATACTGGAATTCAGCTTCACAACTCTGGGGGCAGGGAGTGAGGGAGGTGGGGGAGGGAAGGGGTAATGGGAGAACAATGGGGTGGGGCAGGTGGTAACAATGCTCGACAAGATATGTACTCATTCCCTTACTCAGGGAACTCTGTTCAGCATCTTCACAATAAATAAAACTGAAAACAAACATAAAAAACAATTAGCACATGAAAGAGTCAGAGGAATAGCTCGATGGAAGAGGCCTTCCTACCAAGTGTGAGGCCCTGAATTCAAACCCCAGTACCAGCCCCACAAAGATACTAAATAAATACAGAAATAAATAAGTGAAAAAGAAATATAATGGTTCAAAGTGGACCGATCCTGGTGATCGTAACAAAAAGAAACCACAGTGCCGCCACTCTCAGGCCCCGAGCTTGCGCCTGCCTGCACACGGGCATTCGAGGAGCCCTGCGACACTCGACAATTACCTGGGAAAGAATCTGTCTCTGTTACTCACCTTGAGTTCTTATGTAAGCAGCAGCATACATTCTTTAAATCTATAACCACGGCTCGAAGTGGGAAAGTGGCAAACACAGGAAGCTGGGATGGGCTGGAATGGGGCAACTGAGGGAGGGCTGGCTGGGCTCCAGTGTGTGTGTGTGTGGGGTGACGGTCAGTCCCTCCTGCTCACGCAGACAGATGGACACGGTGAAGTGGGGGGGGGGGGACGGCTGTGTGGTCTGGGGGAGTGGGGAAGAATTCATCAGAGCTTTACAGAGCGCGCGCTGGCTTGTGTCAGCACAGCATGAGCTTCGTACGCTTCCACTCTGCCCGACGCAGCAAAGACTCTGACACAGCAGCTCCGTGGCTCGCCCTGTGTATGGGGAGCTCAGGATCTGCCTTTGTGGTCAGCAGGCGGATGGGAAGATGACAGGGGCAGGGGGCAGGGGGCCGTGGGTGTGGGTGCTGGTCGGTGGGGAGATGTGGTGTGTCCTCCGCGGGTGGTGATTCTGTGTTCTCCGTGAGGTGCAAATGAAGGTCACCGGCTGGCAGGGGGGGCAGGGGAGGAGGAGGTGAGAGAGGAGGAAGGGGAGAGGCGTGGGAGCCAGGGAGGACGGGCAGACCAGGCTGGTTGTGATGCCACTGGCAATCAGCATCAAAGGCGGAGAAGTTTAGGGTGAGGAACTGGAAGTAGGACAAGCCACGGGCCTCGACTTGAGCTCGTTGAAGTGGGCCTTTTCTTTGTATCCAAACCATTTTGGCCAGAATATAGAATTGCATGGGTCCCGCAGTGCATCCTGGGAGTCTGTGGGTGGCATCTGCCTATTCCGATGCTTCAGGAAGGAGAATCTAGGGCACTGGGATGTGTGGCTGTTTTTTTCTCTTGCACTGGGAGGGAGAAATTCATTTCAGCACATCTTAATACATGGAATCCTACTTAGCCCAAATTGTTACAGATTTGTGGACCAGAGATACAGTACAAAAACACATGTATTCTTCTTCTTCTTTTTTTTTTAAAGGATGAAATATTAAGCTGTTTTGTTTGAACTATGTTATTCCATCCCTTTCTTGACCGTATAGAGTTGACAGTAGAATGTATCATGTTAGGGCCTGGGCAGAGAACAGGGATCAACCTCTATAAACTTCCAATTCATTTCATCATTTTAATAGTTTGGTAGGAAAGTTTGAGTTGAAATGTCCTTCAAAAGCCTCCACAATTTTGTGTGTACATATAGGATATAGTAGATCTGTCTGTCTGTCTATGCATCTATCTATCTATCTATCTACGCATTTATATAGCCATCTATGTATCTGTCATCTATCTATGCCTCTATGTATCTATCCATGTACCTATCTATCTATATCTAATGACATACGTTGTTTCCCTCAGGTGTAAGGTAAGACATGCACAGTACTCATAAGGCTGATGATAACAATGATGATGATGACAAATCATGAAGAAGTCTGGTTTTGAAACTTACTGTCCACTGTAAATAAACTCGATGGCAAACACCCATAGGCTTCAAATGATCTCCTAATGGAAAGACTCCAAGAATGAGTTATTCTTTTCTTCTTCTTGATTTATACAATATAAAAAAAGTTAAGAACTGGAGTTTTAGTATGGCAGGAAAGAGATACAGATGAAAGGAAGGGTCATTTAATCTGTAAGAATTCAGACTACATTTTATTTTTATTTTTTTAAGTGATAGAACTGCACCGGTGGCTCACACCTGTAATCTTAGCTACTCAGGAAGCTGAGATCTGAGGATCATGGTTCAAAGTCAGCAGGGCAGGAAAGCCTGTGGGACTCTTATCTCTAATTAACAACCAGAAAACCGGAAGTGGCGCTGTGACTTAAGTGGTAGAGCGCTACCCTTGAAGAGCTGAGGGACAGTGCCCAGGCCCAGAGTTCAAGACCCATGACTGACAAAAATAAATCAATACACGAATAAATAAATAAATAAAGTGATGGGCCTGTCGCCAAGGTTGAGTCCACTGTGAGGCCCCAGAGGGACCCCCGAAGCAGCGGAACAGTGCATAGCTCCCTGCTTGCTGGAGTGAGCCCAGAATAATGCACCAGACCAGAAAGCTAAGGCAAAGCCAAAGCGTACACGAGTTCTAGCAAAAACCTCAAGTGTCATTTTAAGGATGCTCCCCCTTGGCAAAATGAGGGCATAACTTGAACACAAATACAAATGGAATCTGTAATGCAGGACACGGTTGAAATCTGCACACATGCTTGCAACCTTCCATGTCAATACTGGAGGAAGCCACTTGCTATTTGGGAAATTGGTCATTAAGACACAGGAAGAAAACCACGCTTATTACCAGATAGTTGCTATAAGGAAATCGTTGTTTTTTTTTTTAAAGAAAAAAACTTAATCATAATTAAATGATGA